TTTTCTTTTATTTATGTGATGTATTATGTTTATTGAGTTGCATATATGAACCATCCCTGCATCCCTGGGATGAAACCCACTTGAACAAGGAGGATAATCTTTTTAATGTATTGCTGGATGCAGTTTGCTAATATTTTGTTGAGGATTTTAGAATCAACATTCATCAGCAAAATTGGCCTGTAGTTTTTTTTCTTTATAGGGTCTTTATCTGGTATGGGGATTAGGGTGATGCTGGCCTCATGAAAAGAGTCTGGGAGACTTCCCTCCTCCTGGATTTTTTGGAATAGTCTGAGAAAGACAGGGGTTATGTCTTCCTTAAATGTTTTGAAAAATTCTCCTGTGAAACAATCTGGCCCAGGGCTTTTGTGTGCCGAGAGTTTCTTGATTACTGCTTCAATTTCCCCAGCTGCTATCGGTCTGTTCAGGCTTTCTTTTTCTTCCTCCTTCAGTGTTGGAAGATTATACTTTTCTAGAAATGTGTCCATTTCATCAAGGTTTTTAAATTTCTTGGCATATAATTGTTCATAGTAGTTTCTTACATTCCTTTGTATTTCTGTGGTATCAGTTGTTATTTCTCCTCTTTCATTTCTGATATTATTATTTTGGGTCCTCTCCCTTTTTTTCTTGATGAGTCTGCTTAAAGGCTTGTTGATTTCATTTATCCTTTCAAAGAAGCAGCTCCTGGATTGGTTGATTGTTTGAATTGTTCCTTTCATTTTTATGTCATTCAGTTCTGCTCTAATCTTGATTATTTACTTCCTCCTACTTGCTCTGGGATTTATCTGTTGTTGTTTCTCCAGTTCTTGAAGTTGTAGTATTAGGTCTTTCATTTGAAAAGTTTCTATCTTTTTAGGTAAGCCTGTATTGCTATGAACTTCCCTCTCAGGACTACCTTTGTTGTGTTCATAGGGTTTGGACTGTTGTCTGTTCTTTTTCATTTGTTTCCAGAAACTTTTTGATTTCTTCACTTATCTCATATTGACACGTTCATTGTTTAATAGTCTACCATTCAGTTTCTATGAGTTTGCAAGTTTTTGAGGTTTCTCTTTAGGTTGATTTCCAGTTTCAAACCCTTGTGGTCTGAGAAAAGCTTGATATTATTTCAATTTTCCTGAATTTGCTGAGGCTTGCTTTGTGTCCTATCATGTGGTCTATCTTTGAAAAATTCCCATGAGCATTTGAAAAGAATGTGCATTTTTCTTCTTTGGGATGTAAGGTTCTATATATGTCAGTTAAGTCCATTTGATTCAGTGCGTCATTCAGCTCCACACTATCTTTGTTGATGTTTTGTTCGGAACATCGGTCCACTTTTGACAGTGGAGTGTTAAAATCCCCTACTATCAGTGTGTTGCTGCTTATATCTTTCTTGAAAATGTCCAAGATTTTCCTTATATATTTGGGTGCTCCTATGTTGGGAGCATATAAGTTTACAATGTTTATGTCTTCTTCATAGATTCTTCCTTTAAGTATTATAAAGTGCCCCTCTGGGTCTCTTTTTATGGCCTCTGTTTTGAAATCTATTTTGTCTGATATAAGTATTGCTACCCCTGCTTTCTTCTCTTGCCCATTTGCTTGTAATATTCTTTTTCCATCCCTTTATTTTGAATCTGTGCAGGTCTTTTGCTCTGAGGTGGGTCTCTTGTAGGCAGCATATGTGTGGGTCATGTTTTCTTATCCATTCAGCTACCCTGTGTCTTTTGATTGTGGCATTTAGTCCATTTACATTGAGAGTTATTACTGATAGAAACCTATACCTTTTTTTTTCTTTGTATCTGTGTTTTTCTCTTTCTCACTCTTTTCCTTCATCTTCTTAAACCAGTCCCTTTAGCATATCTTGTAGTGCTGGTTTGGTGAATACATATTCTTTTTGCCTTCTTTTGTCTGGGAACATCCTTATTTCACCTTCTATTTTAATTGAGAGCCTTGCTGGGTAGAGCGGCCTTGGTTGTAGGCCCTTGTTTTTCATGATATGGAATATTTGTTGCCATTTCCATCTGGCTTGTAGTGTTTCTTTTGAGAATTCAGCTGCTAGCTGTATAGGGGCTCCCTTGTATGTTACATCATGTTTCTCCCTTGCTGCCTTTAGGATCTTTCATTTCTTTGATATTTGACATTTAATGAGATGTGTCTTGAAGTGGGCCTCATTGGGCTCCTCTTGAATGGTGGCCTCTCTGCTTCCTGGACCCGTGAGACCTTTTCTCTCCTCAAATTGGGGAAATTTTCCATCATTACTTTTTCAAGGAGGTTCTCTATCCCTTGTTCCTCTTCTTCTCCTTCTGGTATCCCTATATGCAGATATTATTGTGTTTCAGGTTCTCTTGCATATCCATAAATGCCACTTCATTCTTTTTGAGTCTTTTTTCCAGTTCTTGTTCTTCCTGGGAGCTTTTTCTACCTTATCCTCCATTTCACTGATTCAATCCTCTGCTTCATCTAGCCTGTTTTGATTCCTTCTACTGTGTTCTTCAATTCAGAAATGGTATTCTTCATATTCTTTTGAGTCTTCTTGATAGTTTCTATGTCCTTTTCCAGGGTGATATAGTGTGCCATAAGTTCCTGATAGTTTCTCTGCAATTTCTCATACTTATCTTTGAGCTGGCTGAGCTCATTGAGCTTCCTTAGAGCCATTGTTTTGAATTCAGTATCTGATAGTTCACTTGCCTCTATTTTATTTAGCTCTCTCTGTGTGGATTCCTCCTTTACTCTCATTTGGGAGAACTTTTTCTTCCCTTTTTTGTGAGTCTATTTTTTTTGTTTGTTTGTTTGTTTCTGCTTCGATTGATCCGTCTAGATTTCCTGACTTTGTGGATTAAACTTCTATGGTAGTAGGCAGGTCTTTATTTATTTATTTATTTATTTATTTAGTCTTTACTTTTCTTTCTGAGTCTGCCTCTGATGGTGTCAGTTGTTGACCCTGTCTGACCTTTGTCCATTTTTTTCAGCCTTCCAGGAATCTACTGTCTGTGTCTGTCTCCTGTGATTGTCAATTTGGTCATCCTGCCCTCATCTGTCAGGTTTAGGCACCACAGAGTGGAGCAGTGCCTCCTAATGGTGGGACTATTGTGCGTGTATAGGATGCTGTCACTTAGGGGAATAGTCTGCCTGAGCAAGATGTAGATCTTGGACTGAGATAGGGTCAGCACCGGGACTCCCCAATGCCTCTGTCTCCAGTCTATCCTCGAGGGTCTCTGGGCAGCTCTGTGACCCTTTAGGTCAGGGATCCACCATTTCTGCGGACCGCTCTGTACTCACACGCTGGCTCACTTGCATGCGCCCCAGCCCTCGCAGGCCCCCATGTGCGTGCTTGCGCCCCAGCACTAGTCATTTTAGGGTCTTCTACTGTGTGCTTTCCTGCTTTTGGCTCTTTGGGAGCTTGGCCTGCCCACCTAAAATGGAGACTATGGAAAAGGGAAAGAGTCAGCTCCAGGACTCTCCGGTTAATCCTGTCTCCATTCTCACCCCGAGGGTCTCTGGGCAGCTCTGTGACCCCTTTGGCCAAGGATCCACTATTTCTGCGGACCGCGTTGTAATTGCGCACCTTCTGGCTTGCGCGCCTGCTCCTGCCACTTTGGGGGTATGGCTTGCCTGTGAAAAATGGGGACTAGGTAATGGGGAACGACTCTGCTCAGGGAATTTCGGATAATCCTCCAGTTCTTTCCCCAACCCCTCCGTCTCCAGTCTCTCCTCAAAGCTCTCTATGCAGCTGTGTGTCCCCTGTGGCCAGGAATCCTCTATTTTTTCCAGCCAAGTCTGCATTCAGTCTCCAGCCCACACGTGCACAAGCTGTGTACAGAGCACAAAAAGGCAGGTTAATTGATTCACTTATGCCTGAGCAAGATGGTAGCTGCAGAGTGGGAGATGAGTTATCACCAGGGCTCCGCTGGCCACCGTCTCAGTTCTCTTCACAAAGTTTTCCTCACTAATCTTTCCTCAGGCACCAGCCCATTCTCCTGCCACCTCTACCCAGAGATCGAGGAAGGCAGCTTCCACTGCAAATTTTTGTGTTGGCCCTTTAAATGTCTCTTTGCATCTCCAGCCACCTGTCTCTGGCAGAGAGTGCCCCCTAAGCATTTTGGGGTTGCATTTTCTCTGTGTGTTATCCTGGTTTCAGCTACTGTAGTCTAGGGGTTCCTGTTCATGATTCAGACCCTGTCCTTCTCAGGGGGATCCAACTGGCCATTTCAATGGCCTCCTGGTGCTGGTGCCCATGGGTGCCCAGGCCACCCTCTTGAGCCTCCACCATACTTCTCACCCATTCTGATGTGTGAAAGTTGATTCCACTGTCTGTCCACAGCTCCAAGGCTCCTCTCCCTTTATCTTTTTATTGTTTTCCAGGTGATTTCTCCACTATTCAGTCACAATTCCAGTTTGGTCTTGGGAGGAGGTCTGCGTGACTCTCATTTACTCCTCTGCCATCTTTTTCTCCTCTCTGTTGAGGATTTTAGCATCTATGTTCATCAGCAATATTGACCTGTGGTTTTTTTTTTTTCCTTGTTCTGTCTTTATCTGGCTTAGGCGTTAGGATGATGCTGGCCTCATACAAAAAGTTTGGGAGTCTTCCTTCTTCTTGGATTTTTTTTTGAATAGTCTGAGAACAGGGGTTAGATCTTTCTTAAATGTTTTTTAAAATTCTCCCATGAAACCATCCAGTCCAGAGCTTTTGTGTGCTGGGAGTTTTTGATTATTGCTTCAATTTCACTAGCTGTTATTGGTCTGTTCAGGCTTTCTGCTTCTTCTTCTTTCACTGTTGGAAAGTTGTATTTTTTAGAAATTTATCCATTTCAACAAGGTTTTCAAATTTCTTGGCATATAAATATTCATAGTAATTTCTTACAATCCTTTGTATTTCTTTCTTGTCAGTTGTTATTTCTCCTCTTACATTTCTGATTTTATTTATTTGAGTCCTCTCCCTTTTTTACCTGATTAGTCTGCTTAAAGGCTTGTCAATTTTGTTTATCCTTTCAAAGAACCAGCTCCTGGATTGGTTGATCATTTGAATTAAACATATGGAATGCCTCACAAATTTGCATGTCATCCTTGTGCAGGGGCCATGCTAATGTTATCTATATTTTTCCAATTTTAGTGTATGTGCTGCTGAAGCGAGCACTATAAGGTTCCTCTCTTGCTATTGTTGTTTGTTCTAGGTGATTTCTCCCCAGTTTAGTTGTAATTCCAGAATGGTCTTTGGATGTGCTCAGTGTGACTTCCAATCACTCATCTACCATCTTGATTTTTGCCATTTGTCTTTGATATGTTCCATTTTATTTATGATGTGTCTTGGAGTGGGCCTCAATCGGTTCCTCTTGAATGGAACCCTCTGTGATTCCTGGACTTTTGTGACTTTTTCTCTCCTCCAATTAGGGACATTTTTTCATCATTACTTTTTCAAACATTTTCTTTATCCCTTTTTCTGCTTCTCCTCCTGGTATCCCTATTATATGGATATTATTACATTTCAGATTATCCTCCCTTTCCCTTATTTCCTCTTCCTTCTTTTTGAGTTTTTTTTCATTTTCTGGTTCTTTCTGGGAGGTTTTTTCTATCTTGTTCTCCAGCTCACTGATTCGATCCTCTGTTTCTTTGAGCCTGCTTTTGATTCCTTCTACTGTGTTCCTCGATTCAGAAATTGTATTCTTCATTTCCTCTTCTCTCTTATTGATAGGTTCCATGTCTTTTTTAATGCTGATATCGTTTGCAGTAAGTTCCTCATAGTTTCCCTGTAGTTTTTGGTAATTCTCTTTGAGCTCACTGAGCTTCCTTAGAACCATTGTTTTGAACTCAATATCTGATCATTTACTTGCCTCTATTTCATTTAGTTCTCTTTGTGGGGATTCCTCCTTTCCCTTTGATTGAGGGTTCTTCTTTTTCTTCCCATTATTTTTTTGACTCCTTTTTTGCTTCTGCTGCTTAAATTTATCTGTCTAGATTACCTGACTTTGTGGTGTGCAATTCTATGGTAGGAGACCACTTTTTTTTTCTCACTTTCTGGATCTGCCTCTGATGATGTTAGCTGTTGACCCTGTCTGACGTTAGGGAGTCTTTAAGAGACTTCCAAGAGTCTACTGTCTGTGTCTGTCTCCTTTAGTTGTTAACCTTGTCACTCTGCCCTAGGCATTCAGGGTGCAGCAGAGTCCCTCCTGTGGGTGGAGCTATTGTGTCCTTTCACGCTGCCACATCTCAGAGCTGCTGTAACACAGCTGCTGCCATATGGGGGAGATGTCAGCACCTGGATCCCCGCAGCTATCCCTTCATTTTTCTCCCCAGTGCCTCTTGCCAGACAATCGCAAGCATCTGTAGGCCCACTCTGTGTCCCTTTTAGCCAGGGATCTACAATCTGTGATTGCTGCTCTGTACTCAGCACCAGGCCTGGGCAACACCAGACCAGGGCTCAGCCTCCTAGGAGCATGGCTATTGTGTCCTTTCATGCTGCTGCTGCTCAGGGAAGTGGTATGCTTGAGGAAGATGGCAGCTGTGGAATGGGGGGTGAGTCAGCTCAGGGACCCTGCCATACACTTTCTCAGTTCTTTCCCCAAAGCCTCCCTCTCCAGTCAGGTGGCTCCAGCCCACTCTGCCCCTTCCTCCACCGCAGGCCAGGGTAAATTGCTGCCACTACAAATTTTTCCATTGGCCCTTTAAATGGCTCTTTGCATCTCTAGCCACCTGTTTCTGGCAGAGAGCAAACTGTCGCTTTTCACAGATGGCTGTTGTCTGTGTGCTTTTTGGGCTCTTGTGCTGTAGCCTGGGGATCCCCACTTATGGTTTAGAACCTGCTCTTTTCAGGGGGATGTAACTGGCCACTTCAATATCCCTCTGGCACTGCCACCCATGGGTGCCTAGCCCACCTTCTTGAGCCTCTACCTCACTCCTTACCGGTTAGGTTGTGCCAAAGCCAATTCCTCTGTCTGACCAAGGATTTAAGGCTCCTCTCTCACTATTGTTCAATTTTCCAGGTGATTTTTCCACAATTTAGTTGTAATTCCAGATTGGTCCTGGGAGGAGTTCAGTGTGGCTTCCACTCACTCATCCACCATCTTGAAGTCTGATCTCCCAATTGTAGTTATTTGAAACCACTAAATTGTGAAACAGTTTGTTATATAACAATAGATAAATGCAATAGTCCTTAAAAAATTTATATAAACAGATTTTATAAGTCATTGAAAAGTCAAACATATGTGTGGAGAGAGAGAGAAAAGATATTAATAAAAAATTATGGTAGAAATTGCAAGTGACCATTACACATACATAAGGAATTCCAGACCCACTAATAATCAAATAAATGAGATTTCATTTCTTTTTTTACCAATAAGAAAAATTAAAGAAGTCCAATTCTAATAAGATTAGGGTGTTAAGTACTTTAATATATTATTGATGGAAATGGTAATGTAAATCTGACAATGCGACATTTGCAAAACACAAAAGGTATTTTCTGTGCTTCTTTTTTAAAAGTCTAGTGCAGAACCCAGGAAGAGGGCAGGGAGAGACAGACTGATAATTTAATTGTATTAAAATATAAAACTTCTTCAGGACAAAATGCCATTAACTAAGGTAAAATATATATTTTCAGTGGGTTATCCATAGTAAACACATTTTTTGCTCAAATCACTGTCTAATGCAGGTGAATGGGGAGACTCTGCTCACCATGCACATAATGAGCCCAGTTCCTTCCATTTGGTACCTCTACCAAGCCTCAGACTCAGAGTCTTCCATGGAATCTTTTCTATCTGGCCACAAAAAGAAAAACAGTGTGAGTATCACAAGATGTTTTAAGGCCATGTCTGGAAGTGGTATATATCACCTCTAACTTGAAAATGCTAATAAATGTGGCTCAGCTGTGTGCTCAGGAACAAAAGGAAGTGTGGTTTCATGAACATAATAACATATTCTCAGTCACAAAAATAAAATAGCTAGGAGATTTAGCATACATAATAGATAAAAAGTTAATTCCCTTAATATACAAGCATCTATAAATCAATAAACATAGAAAAAGGAAAAGAAAAAAACCCTGACAAGCATGGCTCTGTTGGTTGAGTGTCATCCCACAAAGAGAAAGTTCACCAGTTTCATTCATGGTCAGGGCACATATGGGTTGCAAGTTTGGTCCTTGGCCAGGGTGCATAAGAGGCAACCAATCAATATTTCTCTTTCACATCAGTACTTTGCACCCTCTTTCTCTCCCTTCCTAACAGTAAGTACATTTAAAAAAATAGGAGAAAACATCAAAGATTTAAAGCAATTCAGAACATAGAAAGTAATAATGGCTAATAAAATTCATTCACAATTAAATGTATGTTTATGTAGATAAAATGTTTTAAAGTCAGATTTAGGAAAATTTTCAAATGGTTGTACAACATTCAGCATTGGTGAATATGTGGGTTAAAGACACTTTCACAAACCATTTATGCAACTATAAATTAGTACAATTTATTGGAGGCCAATTTGGCAATAAATTTCAAAATTTATAGGCATGAACTCTTTCATATTTTAATTCTACTTTTAGGGATTTATATTTTGCACAAGGTAGAGTGTCCAATTTACAAGGACAGCACAGTTTAAAGGGGAAGAGCTGTCTTCTTAGCATCTTCTTTTATTTTCTAAAGTTTCTTAGACAATAAATTGTGACAATCACCCTAGCAATTGATTTTTTTTCAGAATAGCAAAGCACTACAAACCTAAAAGTCCATCAATAGTAGATCATATACTATTTCATAAAAACCATGATTTATTTAATGCAATGGTATGCTATAAAGCTATTAATGATAACCATCTAGGGTCATTTTTTCTCATATGTCCTCTTAACCACATGAAAGAAGGAAAGCAACTAAAACACCCATAACTTGCTCCTATAGCATAGCTATAGTACAGAGAAGATAACAAACTCCACTTTATGAATGAATGGGGAAGTACAAGCTAAGAGCAGCAGATTTAGGAGGAACTACATAGAAAAGCAGAGAGTTTAAAGAATATAATACAGAAGAAACCAAAAGTTCACATTCCAAAAAGTAGAAAGCAGCATTGGGATTGGGAACAATGGAGATCTAGACTGAGGCCAAGAGGGCCTCAGAGCATGAAATAGCTTAAACAAGAACGAGACATGAAAAGTATTCTCCACTAGAAGTGGCAGTACTGAGTAGAAAATGAATTTAGGAGACAGAGAAAGGTTGTGGAATTCTTCAGAAAGAGAATCTGATGCTAAAATAAGGAAGGAAGAAATTGATAATGTTCCTACTGAAACGTGATAACGTTTAAGAATTACAGAAACCCAGAAAACACACATAGCACACACATAACAGACAACATAGCACAATATATTTTAAAAACTGCACTTACCAAATAGCCCCAGAAGAGATAACCCTTGAATTGTGAAACCAGAAAAACCAACTACATAAATCATTCCTCATCCCTCCCATTTCAGATCGTTTTTTACTTTATTTTTTATTTTAAACAGTTTATCCTATTACATTTGTCTCAATTTTCCCCCCTTTGCCCTCCTCTACCCAACCCACCCTGCCCCTCTCACCCACAGTCAATTCCCACTCTGTTGTCCATGTCCATGGGTCATTCATACATGTTCTTTCTTTAGTTCCTTCTCCTTCTTTCTACCTTTGTCCTCCTTCCCCATCCCCTCTGGTCACTTTAAGTCTGCTCCACATTTCCTTGCTTGTGGTTTACTTTGTTTGTTAATTTATTTTGTTGAATAGATTCCACTTATTGGTGAGGTCATATGGTATTTGCCTTTCACTGACTGGCTTATTTCACTTAGCATGATATTCTCCAGTTCAATTCATGATGTTGTGAAATGTAGGAGATTCTCTTTCTTTCTTTTCTTTTCTTTCTTTCTGCTTTCTTTCTTTCTATTCTATTTATTTTTTTAAATGTCAAGATACATTATAACTATTAAAAAAATTAAATCCATTATAAAGTCTCAGCAATTAAAACAACATGACACCAGCACAGAAATAATCAAGTAGATCAATGAAATAAAATGAGCATTCTAGAAACAAATGTGTGTGTGTGTGTGTGTGTGTATCTAACAATGTAATATATGATTAAATTGGTATTTCAAATCAATTGGAAAAATAAGGCTTATTCAACAAATAAGGTGCATAG